ATATTTATTTTTTTAGTTAAATTATATATGGAATATTAATTTCGTTTTTATTATAATTTGGAAACATTGACATTTTCTAAAAATAATACTTTACATTTAGTATATCTCAAAAGACAATATTGTTTTGTTAATATTACGTTTTTATTTTGATTTTCCATTTTTTATAACAGTTAACATTTTTATGTAATTTGTAAAATGTCAATATTTATTTTGTTAGCTAAGTTATATATGGAATATTAATTTCGTTTTTAATGTAATTTGGAAACAATGACATTTTATAAAAATAATAAACTAATATAATGATGTGTCATTATACGATTGGAGGACTTAAATCCTACGTGGACGTCCTCAATGGCTTATAGCCTCAACTTTTATATAGTATAGATTTTCCGGCTAAATATTTTGTATAATCATTGAATAAACACCACTTTTGTCTTTATTAAAACTATATTAATAAACAAAAATAGTATTTTTTCAGAACAAACAAAGTCTGCTGCTTGTAGAAACCTTCACATAATATTCTACTTAAGCAAGTGAATAACTACTACTCTTTCCGTTTTGATTTAATTGTCGTTTTAGGAAAAAAAATTATTTCAGAATAAGTGTCATTTTATAGTTTTCATACAAAATTTGTTAAAAAGATTCTCTAATTTATTTATTTTTTGTTGAGATATGGTTAAGTGTATAAATAATTATGTTTTTTAAAAAAATATACAAATTATACGTTTTATTAATTTATGTACATAAACCTAGAACAACAATTCAGAAGAAAAAAAACGGAGAGAGTTTTCATTTTGATCGTAGTAAATTGGTTATGCACAAGCACAACAAATGAATGATCATTAACTCATTATATAATAAAACATCAAAGAATTTAGTAGTCAGTATTAAATGGTTGCAACAGTATTTGCAAGTCATAGTAATAGAGTTATGGATCTAGTCAAGTACGTAAGAATTAAGTTTTTTAAAAAAGTACGTAAGAATACAAAGGCAAATTGAATAAAAATATAAAAATAAAAGTGAAGTCTACGATTAAAAAGTCATAGTGAAATAGAGTAATTTTATGCCTTGAGCTAAAGAGAATACCACACATGTTGCAAACATTATATTTTATTGATTATTAAAGACGTAACAATCTGGTGGAGAGTGAAAGTGATGGTCTTTGAATTTTTCCTTAAGTCATGAATCTTCAATACAATAAGTAGTGAGACAATCGGGGAACTCACAAAAGATGATTACTTAAGAGGAGAGTTAGTAAGTCTTCTATAAGTAAATGATGCTTAAATTGAAAGTGAGATTAAGAAATCCAACCAAACATAAAATGAAAGAACATGTGAAGCTACGAAGAAGCCGATGAAAATGGAAAACACACGTGGCTTGAGTTGGAGCTGTCGGTGTATGAACTAAAACAACCATCATTTGTTTATATTTATTACACCTTTTTTGGTTGCTACGTCAAAGTTCGTGAATCGTGTAATGTCCCACCTCAGTTCTACTTACCTGTTTTCACCACGCGCTTCAACGAGGAGCGTGCACTCTCGCGTTTCGAATCAGTGGTTTTAAACGATTTTCGTTATTCCCGCGCTAATATAAAAGATAGGCTTTTTAAGGCCCAACTGAGTAAAATGCATAACTATTGAAGTTTAGTTTATATCAGGCCCGAGTTATCTTATTGCAATGAGTTAGTCCATTGCTTTATAACTAAAAGTTCATACTACTAAGACTGGATTTCGCTCCGGATCCCCTCTGAAATTAAGATTTTCGAGGGGATCCGGATCCGAATCCGGATATTAAAATTTCAGATCCGTGCAAACCGAATCCGAATCTTGATATTTTAATTTTTAGGCTGGATATCCAAAATCCGGATACCCGGAAGACACCAAGCCGAATCCGGATACTAAAATCACGCATCCGACAAATCCAGATCTAAATCCGGGTACTTCAAATTTTCCGGATATCCGGATCGATCACACCCCTACTAATTGGAGTTCTTACTACTGTAGCGTTTTGTTTCTATAAAAAATATCATCAATAAAAGTTCAATGATGATAAGAACAAGACTAGACCTTTATCTTATATGATATATTTATAAATAAATGTTATTTTTTTCAGTGATCACCATGTCAGTATATCTTCTATTATAGTTTCAGCTCATCTCTAAAACAAATCTCAAATGTACCTAAGCCTACGTATATGACAGGACACACCAAAAGCTGAATTAGTGAAGTCTAGTAAAGGACAATTGAAACACAGACAAATTAAGCAGAAATAATGAGAGATAAAAAAGGGAAAGAAGCGTTGATAGAGAGAGATGCAGATCGAAGATAGTCGTGAATCGTGATAGCAACGCCTGAATTTAATGCTAAACACTTACAAGTTAAAGTGATGTTTGTGGTCCTCACATAGTCTCATCAACAGCTACAAAATAATAAGAAAGCAGTTTAGGAAAAGGACAGTTTCCATGAGAGACTTCCACTTTGTTTAAACCTAATCTATTTCTTACCCTTTAGCTGCTGTTCAAGTTTAACTCACTAATTGTATTATTAGGATTATAACATTACAAATTAAACCTTCTTACTGGATTGTGTTGTATTCTCAGTTTGGTATGATGTGAGATGTCTTACATCTGCCAGAAGATTATCAGGAGTTGCATAATTCAATACATCTTCTCATGTCATGTCACATAATCGACAAAACAAACAACATATTCCAATCAATTTTAAATTTTGAAATTTCATCTTCAACTATCACAAAATCTCATTACATTTGAAATAAAATCTCACCACCCAAAATATCAATCAATCAACAAATTAGAGCAAGACTCACACTTTGCTTTGCACACACAATCAAGAAGAAGAAATCATATTAACAAAGACGTCATTGCCAAACAGCTCTCGGTGTCAACACCGTAGCTCCTCCTCCTCTAAAGGACGGCCTCGGCGATGTCGAAAGAGACTTCGAAACTCTCGGAGAAGAAACTGATTCTCTCTGCGAAGGACTTCTCCAAAAACCAGCACCGTAGAACCTATTCCACATCTCTTTCTCCAACGCCAACACCGCCTCGTCCTCTTCATCCGTCTCCTCATCCGTTGTCAACTCAGCCGCAACCGCAACCGCTGCCGCCTTCCCAAAATATTTAGGATCAAAAAACTCGTCCTCCTCCTCCTCGGAGACATCATTACTACTATCCAACGGAAAGATAGCAAACTCCGAGTTCTGAAACACTCTCTGAATCCTCTCGCCTTTCCCGTCCGACGGCAACGGCGGGAGGATACCGTTCTTAACAAGCTGTTTACGGCGGTGACTTCGGATAGCGCGGCGGCAGATTCCGCGTGGGAGTTTGTAGACAGCGAGGACAACGAGGTTGACTATTCCGCAAGGACAGCAACACCATACGGCGGCGCAACTCGCCGTAGTACCGCCGCAAAACTCGGCGGGTGTTGATCCTCCGCAAGTGGCGTTTGGAGACGGAGAGGAGAGGCTTCTTTGGAGTAGAGGATGTCTCCGGTGACTACGAGACGGAGAGGAAGATGGTGTGTCTGATGGTTTTGTCCGCCTCGAGATATGTCTCGGATCGTAGAGTGACGTTGTCGTGTTCATAATACGGTTTGGTCTGGAAAAAAAAATATCAGTGTCGTACAAAAGTTTAGATCAAAAACATTTTCAAAAAAAAAAAAAAAGATTAGATCAAATGGTGTACCGGTCAAACGCAACACCGCAGAATCTCTACGGTGATGGCGACGGCGAAGGTTGGTTGGGGATGAATACGAGAAGAAAGCCCAAAGAAAAAACAAATGACTTGTAAAGTAAAAAAAACAGTAACCAAATCGATAAAATTAGGCGCGAGAAGTTTTTGATCCAATGGTTTTTGACTTCTGAATAAAGAATGCTTTCTTGGTATAATTGAGGGGTTTGATTTTGGATGAGAGGTCGTCCGAGATAGATGGAGAGATAAGAAATGAATAAAGAGGTTTGGTTTGGTTGAAGAAGAAGAGGAAGGTGAATGAAAGAGTTGGTGTATTTAAAACTAGGGTTGGCCCGCCCTACGGGCGGGAAGTTATAATAAAACTATTTTACAGAAATTCATATTATTTTATGAAACATTTAAAGTTGTTATAGCTTGAAAACAATATTATAAACAAACAATTAATAAAAATAATTTTAAAATCTATTCTTATTTTTAATAAATATTTTGGTTTCAATTAAAATGACAGTAACTTTCACTATTCTCAATTTTAAAGAATGCAAAATTAATAAAAAAAGTTAATATATATATATATATATATTCTTATAATTCTATTCTAATTTGACATGATAAAAAAATAATCTAAAGTTTATATAAACAATACTATATTTATATCAACCAATAATTATTCTAATACTATATTTATATAAAGTTTATAGATTTTTTTTATTGTTTCAATTGGTTATCTTAATTTTTATTTTATGTTTTTAATTATTATATATATATGCTATTTAATTTAGTTATATTTTACTTTCTTGTGCTTATATTATATATATTTTATAATCATAATAAGTATATCTAATTTATATATTCATTGTTTAGGTAAAATTAAATGATATCATTTATTCAAAAAACAATACAAATAATTTAAAAAAAAATTGTATGTTAATGATTCATTTCAAGATTGGTATTTTGATTACTTCTGATTGGAGTAGTATCACGTTTTAGTCTTTCTAGAAATTATTTTTTTTATCAAATAATCATATTATTTCAACATGCTGAATTCAGGCTAAATTTAAATTTGCATTTCTTATAAAAAGTAGAATAATATTATATGTAAAAAAACATCAAAATAAAGCTAAACAAACTAAGATGTCCGGACTTTGCAGCTCTAATGTTAGTTGTTTTGTCATCTCCCCATTGAAGCCCCAACAAAACAACTTCAGTTTTATCTGCCACACTAAGCTCTACACATTATCTGAGAGACATAAATGGATCCATATAAGTTGTTCGTTGAACTGGATTATTGGAGGTTTGTCATACTTTGTTATATTACATCAAACATGCTCAAGAAAACATGAATAATTAACAAATGAACCGTTCACTCCTAAATCCCACCGTTGATNTTTGAAGATGATATATGAATTGTTTATAATTATATTCATAATTCGATTGATCCAATGAACTCTCTACAATGGGATCTTTCCATATATAACTTTATTGTGATCCAATTTCCTTATATCTGGTTGAAAATCACCTCCAAAGTAGCCTACATACACACTGAACTCAAAGGTAAAATTGCAGGTTTTTGGATCAGAGAAACATAAAACTTTTCATCAACGTTCGTATAGATTTCTGGATGGAATTTACTTCTGATTTAAACACGGTTTCTTCCTATGGATTCCTTGCAGCTTGATCTTTGCATATGCATATTATCCGAGATCTAGATACTTCTGGTATGCTCATAATTGCCTTCCAAAACTCTTGTTTAACCAGCTTCTATCTCATGTGCTTGTTTAGCCATTGTTTTGATTTCATGGATCTTATCATCAAAATCCATAGATTCAATAGAGTTCCAACTTCTTCTCCGGACCCTTTACTTTAGATATACTACTCATAAGCTGTTCAGTATCAAATTTAGGTTTCTCAAAAAAGACTTCTCCAAACCCATCTCCTGCAACACTTCAACGTTACCTTCTCAATCACTTCCTTTTTCTTCCAAGCTTTCATCTTTCTCCTCATCATCTCCTTTCGGTGCACTCAACCTCATTAATCTTCTTATACACAAACATTATCTCCAGCATCAGAGTCCTGTGTAAACACACAAAACAACTTTTTCGAGGTTGTTCAGAAAAAAAATTAAACACACAAAAGAGAGAGAGAGAGAGAGAGAGAGAGAGAGAGAGAGAGAGAGAGAGAGAGAGAGAGAGAGAGAGAGAGAGAGAGAGAGAGAGAGATTAACACACATAACATTAAGCTGAGTTCTTCTTTTCTGGAACCAGAACTTGATTTGTCTTCGACCCAAACCCCAATTCTCTGCCAAGTTGGTTCCTCTGCTTATCATATGGATGAGGACACTCCTTGAAAATCCTGCCAGAGATTCAAACTATTATAATAGTGTATGAATCAAAAAAAAAAACAGAGAAGATGATTGTGAAAGAAATTAAAATTTAAAATGACTTATCTATGTGGCACAAAAAATCCTAGGTGGACATAATGACATGGAGCCTATGTGGCACCCTTGAGAAGGAGGGAAACACTCCTTTATATAATAGATATACCAAAGAAAGTCCAACACGTTATTTATTTGTTATCTCTTCAGGTTGGTTCTTTCTCTGTTTAGAGCTTGTGTGAGTTGTGTCAATATAACTTGTCCAGTTGTTTTTACCAAACCTGATTTTTTTTTTAAAAAAATCATTAAATACTTATATTAAAAATCTAATAGACTATGAGTCTATGACAATTACAACTGGAGATAAACTCAACAATAAAGCCTAGAAAATAACAAAAACATAATGAATGATAAGATAAAAAAGGAAAAGAAACGATGAAGAACCTAGATTCTAAAACCATTGTTGGAATTTCGAAATAACAAGAAGAGGTCGAAATTTATAACTGTAGGCCGGAAAGAGTTGCGAGACTATAGAGCCGTCGTAAGAGTGATATGATGAAGCCCATATGTATGGCTTCGAAATTTAAGTTACAAACTAGATTTTGACCCGCGCAACCGCGCGGATGTTTGTTTTTGTTTATAATTAGTTATATAAACATTTTGTTTTCATTTGTAAATTGGTATATATTTTAGTAATCACATATTTACGATATGTATAGTAAATGTTTTTCAAACATAATAATATTATATAATAAGTGTTTTAATCAAACAAATTGTTTCAAATTTTCTCTGTTTGTTTCTTCTTCTATATTTTATTGTTTGTTAGATTAATATTTCATTTTTAGATAAAGTAATATAAATAGAGATTGATTAAATATTAGTGTAATTTAATTTGAAAAGATAATACAAAATTCGAAGATTTTTTTGCTAAAAACTAAACTTATAGCTTCATAAATTAATATTATAAAGAATTTTATTAAAAATAATTTTTTTAAACAATTTTTTTTAAAAACAATATAATTTTAAAAATTCACATCGAAATAAATATAATTAATATATATAGCGTGTAAATTTTTTTAGGGTATATAAATATTCCATATTACTAATCTGTGATTTTTGTTAATATATTGTGGATGTATTTAACTATTATTGACATATTTCCTTATAAATAATAGAAGATTCCTAAACTTATATCTATTGACATATTTTGCGTGACTAAGTTGGAAGGTGTGGGGTAATTTACCAAAACCAAATTGTTAAATATATTATAAGATATAATAATGATAAGATTATTAGAGAGTTAATGTAACATAATTTTCTAGTAATAGTCCATTTAAAAAAATCACACATGAAATCAAGTCATGACTTCTGTTTTAATATATAAGATAGTGTGTCACATAGTAAAAGTCCCATAACCACAAAAGAACACTTGAATATCAAACCGGAGCAAAGGATAATTCCAATATAATAAGCCATGTTCAAATGTGCCAAGCTAAGCAAGGGTTTTGCAATTGTTCGGAAACGGAGAAAAGGCAAGAGAAGTAGCCATGGACCAAAGAAACGACGAAACAGAATAAATGCAAAGAGCGGGAGAGACGGTAAGATGGATGGCAGCAATGACGCGGAGACGACAATGATTAATGGGATAAGACGATGACATGGACGTACAAAATGAAATAATAACGATGAAGTAGATGAAAATCGATCAACACAGGTAAGATAGATCACCACCAGCGTTAAATGTAGAATTAGACTATATCTGATGGTTTAAACTATTTTTTACTATAAAATAAAGTCATCTCTATAATATTATTTGAGAAGTCAGTTTCCTACGTGTCGCGCTCACGTTAACTCTTGCGATGGTTGATTACATAGATACTCTTAATGAATTGTTAGATTTTAAGATTACGATTTTTTATTTAGTTTTTTTTTACCTTTTTCCAAATAACATATATAATAAAAAGGAAATATTTCTAAAATTTTAGAACAAATTTTAAAAACGAAAATATATGTATATAATATGACTTTATTAAAAATAAAAGTTCACAAAATAGTAATACCTCATTAATATATATTTTAAAATAACATAAAATATATTTTCAAAATAATAAAAATATATGTGTTCATGAACATCCAAAAACTTATCAGTTGCACTTTATTTTTTTAATATTTTTTTGAAATCAACATATAATTTGATAAATATTATGAAAATACATGTATATTTAAGCGATAAATAAAATTAATTTGATTTGATTTAAATAAAATAAATAGTAAATAAATATTATGAAAATACATGTATATTTAAGAGATAAATAAAACTAATTTGATTTGACTTAACTAAAATAAAAAGTAATTATTCTTCAATTTTAATTTAAAAATATATTATATTCAATATACTCACAAAATGAATGACTCGAATAATCTAATTTATATCCAAAAATAATCATCTAACTACAATAAGAACATATAATTTTATAATAATAATAATAATATTAATAATATATTTAGTTTTATACATATAAATTATAGGTTGACTCAAAGCATATTAAAAAGAAAAAGAAAATATTAACCAATTACAATTTAATTCTTTTTAGAATATATATATATGCATGAGACTTCAAAATATTGTCATTATATTCATTTATTTAATTTTGAATCAAACACTTCAACTTATTATTAATTTCATTTTAAGCACAATATATATATATATATATTAAGTTATAAATAATTTAACTATAATATATTTACACATCTAAGAATATATTTACATATATAAAGACAATAACCAACCGAAATGAAAATAAGAAAATTAATCAAAGTTTTATTATATTTAAAATAAAAAATATTATAGCTGAATTCGAAAATATATATTATCCAATATACCAAATTGATAACCAAACCGACTATTGATCAAAAAAATAATTAAACCGGCAAT